GGTCTTCCTCTCCTTGTAACGCAATTGCGGGTTAGTTCCATCGAGAAGTCCTCCATGAAGGCAAGATTTCTCCCTATTTCTCCCTAAGATTTCTCCATAAGTTTCCTTGTTTTCTGGATTGGGTTCAAAATTACAAAGATATGTAGTTGAACGTTAGTAGACGTAAGCCCAAAAATTGGATCAGCTGTTTAATGACGTTTATGAACTAAAAAAAAAATGTGGCTGACTAGTGCGATTTATTATTTTAAGGTGAAAGACCCTAGAAGCATTATACTAATATACAAAATTTTATCCCAATGTGAATTTCCCGAGCCGATCTCTCTCCTTGTAAGGGATTACATTTCTTAAAGATATCTGTCTAAAGAACTCAAAATTAACAAAATATTTATAACTCACTTTTTTTTCTCCTTTTTCCCAAAACTTTTTCTAATTTATTTCAAAAATTCTATCTTTAAAGAAAAAGCTTATGCAGATTTTAAATTAAGTTCAAATTTTAAAAAAGGAAACAGTGCGAGAATGCGATGACAACAACAGAATTTAAATAAGGTTATTAAAAAAAAATAAAGGCATTTGTGAAGTGAGAAAGAAAAACTCATTTTCAAAGCAATTTAAAGTGACTTTTCTTACGAGGCCAATTTTTTTCTTAAAAGAGCACTTAGGAAAAAAACAAACGTTCAATAAAATAGACTAAAATCACAAGCAAATATATATATATATGTGTTCTGGGAAGAAGGTAAACGCTTTAAAGAAGCACAGAGACTAAGAAAAGCATTATGGCAAAGTAATGAAATTATTATGCTTTAAACAAGGAGATTCCGCTCTCTTCTCGCATCGCTTACCAAACCATGGTTAATCTGTAATCGCTTTGTTTTTTAACGATAAACATATTTTTACACCAAATATATTATTAAATTATAAGGTCACCATTTATTTTTATTGTATTTACACAAATTTAGTTTCTGATCGCGGAGAAAAAAATTCTGGTTATATTACTGTAGTGCATGGTAATGGTGTTTCTGATAAAAAAAACAACAACATAATTCTGCAAACAAAATCAGAATATATAGAAAAATAAAATAAAATAATCATTTATTAATTTTTTTGATAATATATAGAAACGGTTTACCCGAAATTCTGATTTTCATAATGATAGTTCTTATTACCACACATTTAGTAAAAAATGCAAAATGGAAAAGTTTGAAGAAGCAAAATGGTTTTTATGCTATGCTCTAAGGTAACCTTCCTTAACCCCTTAGCGATCGGTTAATTTTCAAGAAAACGGTCATAAAAGTGCCTATTTTTTGGCTTTTGTATTTGCCAAAGTGCCGCAACTAGTTTAAAATAAACTAACTATCTACAATTACCTTAAAAATATCCTGGTACTGCCATCAGGTGTGTAAAATGAGAAATAAAATGTTTTCCGGGCAAAAGAAATCACTTCTTATTGGTTCGTTACTACTGAACGCTCCAGCCCGTCAATATCACGGGAGCGAGAAATAGCGGGCGAAATCTCACCCCGTCATTTTCACGGGAGCGAGAAGGAACCAGAGAAACGGTACATTTTATCATATTCTGACAGTTTTGTTCACACCTTTTCCTCAGTGATTATGTAAAATAAAAACTAATCCTAATAATTTTCATCGATAACCTTTCAGACGTGCATTTGTTTCGTTACTATAAAAGCAAGTTATATTTTTTAAAGAAAAAATTTGCTGATAGTGCGAAAAATCGATTCTTAATATCCCTATTGAATCTAAAACAGTTATTTTGCATTTATTATTTTTATTGTACACGTTTGCTGAACACAGTTTTACATAAAGTTTATTGTTAAAGTTGATATAACGGATTAAAAAATAAATATAATTTATTTACTGTTTAAAAATTGTCGAACTGTATTATATGACTTTTGAATAAAATGTTGCATATTATTGTAATATGATTGAATTACTTTTAGATTAAAGAAACAAAATTTTTAGTTTTGATCCTTAAATTTTGAACAATAATCAAATTTAAGAGCACAAGAAAGAGTAATATTATGAAATGTTGATATTAAATACCTAGTAAATACCATAGGAAAAACACTAGTTCAAACTTTAATGATAAATACTGTCATAACTCATCGATTTTATGACAGCCAAAGATATTTGTACCTTTTTTGTTTATTAATGACCATATCAATTAGTTTTTATAGACGGCTGTTATCTTTTCATGATATGCAACTACGCATTTTTAATTATTATTATGTCTTAATCATTATGAAATTAATATTTTCAAAACCTTCTACACTGAGAAAGAAAGTATGGACAAAGTAGTGGAAAAAATATTGTAAAATTTACCATGTTTCTGGCTCTATGGAAACACCGAAATCCTTTGTAATTTTTACCGTAGCGCTTTGGTAATGACATTGATAAAATTAGCAATTAAAATATAATTTTATAATATGTGATAAAATTTTGTAGTAATTTTGTCATGATACCTTAGAGCATGGCATAAAAACCATATTTTTGAATTTACTTTTCAGTTTTGTATTTTTTACTAATTGTGTGAAAATAAGAAACCACAATTTCTGAAAACCACAATTTTCGGTAAATTGTTCAATGAATTTTCTACTCCGTGTAGAACTTTTTTAATTAATCTGAAAGTATTTTAGAAAGAAACAAAATTTTTAAAAACTTCTCGAAAAAAATTAAATGCAGAAGTGCATATTCTTTGTTTGTTTCTTCGTTTAAACTTGTGAAAACTATGAGCCTCCTATAACCAATTTGTGTAATTTTTAAATCTTTTTTTTAATACTAAAATTATCATAAAATAGTCATTTTAATTATTTTTTTATCATTCAACAATATTTTTTTTTCTAAACTGTTTCAAAAAACATTTTTTTTCACTTGAAGCACATATAATTGCAGAAATGCAGCTCATTTTTCATTGACGCATACGCATTTGTAATGTTGAATAACTTTTTTTCATAACTGTATTTATTTCACAGAAATGTTCTCTAATTTTCCTCCTATTTACTGAAGAGTAAAGTACTATTTTAGTTTCTGTTGCACCGACAACTTTTTCTTTATTGTGTTTCACCTTTCCGACAGAGTAATTAATGAAATTAAACATTTAAACTATTTTGCATTTCATATGATGTTATTTTTCTTACTATGAGTTATGAGTATTTTTATATAAGTTTTCATCTGTGAAGTAGTCATAATCAGTAGTATGAACAAAGCTAAATAAGTTTATTGGATAAAATAATTGCATCTTATTTCTTTTCCTGTTTATTTGATCCTTTTTTTTGTTTTTTGGTTTGTTTAATGCTTTTTTATGTAGCCAATATAGAGGCACTCCTAAAAAAGAAGGTCTTAATCCTGCCGAGTATAATTTAAACTTCATTTTTTCTATCATTTCTAATTATTAGAATGAAAATATAGATTATTATAAACCTTTTTAGAAATTTGGAAGGTTTTTAAAAAATTTTTTTGTGAGGTATGAAAATTTGTATAGCTTCTTCCGTAGGGAGAAACTTATAATCATAACTATTTTGTATAAAAGGTTTCGTAACGATATAAATTTTTTACTCATCATGAAATAGGGTGTAATATATTTATTGTGTAAACTATTTACTTATTATTAACTCTTAAAAGAACCTGTTCTCAGTATTTTTTCTAAATTGTTACTGTGTAAATATTTCGAACGTTTACTCGATAAACATCTAATGGGGTTTTTCACGAAGAATGTGAAACGTGATTTATACACTTTCTTATAGTCCTTTATGGAAGATATCCGAAATCGCACTTACAAATTACACGTAAATATAATACTTAGATATTTTGCAATCATATTTGATTGAAGTATAGTCTGTTTTGCTCTGGTATAGCTATATCGCATGCTCTGATTATGGCTTTGTTTTGGAAATATATATTTTCGTAAAGTAGAGATCTTAATAAAAATTTTCAGACTATATCCTGATAGCAAACGTTGCATTTACGGTTTCTTTAGATTGATATTATAAGGCTGACTGGTTAATCATAATTTCTACAAGGCAGAAATTTTACTATACCTATATTATTTATTTTTGTTAAATTGAATAAAGGCGGCCAAAAACCTTAACAAAAAATATAATTTCTTAGTTTTCATTGCAAACTTCATTTTCAAACTTTTTTTCCCTTTGTATGTTAAGACTCTCATACGCAACTTTTTTTAAATGATGATGTGAAGTATTTTTAGATTCAATTTCGATATAAAAGAACTGTTTATTAAAGCTTAATGCGAACCTCATTGTGCGTAAACTAGCACAGTTAAATTTAACATTGTTTCAAGTTTGCATGGTTTATTTGTTTATTATTTATAAATATTGCTGGGGCCTTGTGGTAAAAGTTGCTGTTATATTATAACCACCGTTTTAATACTATCTAGGTATTATTTAAATTTTTTCTTTTTGAAAGCCGCAATTGGCGAGTGATATTTGGGATACGTTTGTGATTTTACATCTTTAGTTTTTACTGCTTTGCCCTTTTTTACAGTATGAAGTGATTGTTTTTTTAAAAATCTTTTGCTTATACTTTAGTAAAGAAATCGAACTTCAAACTTTTTCTCTAGTACTAACAGTACATATTAGTAGTTGATTTGTACTGCACCGTAGCCAATGATCAGCCATTGAGCGCCCTTATTTTAGTTAATGGAAATTTAAACTGTTTCTTTATAGGAAATTTTGTCGATTTCCATGAAAAAATATAGATTTCAGAGAGATAAATATTAGGGGGATTGGAAAGTAATGTCATTTCGGCGCATTTTATATTTCCTATCAAGATTTTATTTTTAATCAATTGGCAACTACAGATCTAAAATAAATCGAAATGGATCGAAAAAAAATGAATTGCTTAAGACGATCGAATATTTAATGGGCCGAAACGACGTTGCTTTCGGGTTCCCCTAATATTTCTAAAAATTATCCCTATTTCTGGAAAGAAATGATTATAAGTCACAGACATTTTGAATAAAACAATTTTATTTCTATTCATGAACACAGCTGTCACTTCATTGCATCACGTCTTACACTTAAGAATACTGAAAACCATGGAATTAACACAGATGAAAGAGAAAAATCATTAAGGTTTTACGCTTATTTCTCTCCCTATAATAGTACTTTATCGTCTGCCGGGCCCACCAAGAAATTCCGACCCTTCTGGTTCGGCATAATACTTTTTATCAACTGGTCTCTTGTCTGCTAGAAACGATTTCATGTTACCATTCCTCGGCTTCCACGCAAATGGTTGGACTCTGAAGTATTTCGGCAGACCGTTCCGGTTAGGAAGGAAGAACATTCTGGGCAATTCATTAAGGAGGTCCTGCCGTCGTCTTCTCTGGGACTCATCCACAAGTCTGGAGACCCGTTTCTGAAGTTCGATGGCCATCGTGTTCTCTTCTAAATCTTCCATTCGAGGGCGAGCAATACCAATGATGCTGTTGTCTGAAGAGAAACTGTTTTTGTGAAGAAAGTAGCCAGGATCCTTGTCAATGAGGTTACGCTCCTGCGATTCTGAGAAATCCTCACTGCTATTGGCAGATGATGAATCTAAATACATAGAAATTCAGTGATTTTAGATGGTGAAATAAAGTGTAACTAACTAAGACACCCTAAGGAGACAATCAATTTTAGGTTTTTTTTTTGACGCAGAGATGTCTTTGTGTGGAAGGATGAACCCGTTGTCATCTATTCATTTTATGACAGAAAGACTTTAGATTTGAATCGAAGTTACTGCAACTTTGTTTCAAATCTAAACAATTACTGGTTTTAAAGCGTGCTTGTCCCTTTCATACAAAGAAACAAGCTGAGTTCGTTGCTCAATAGAACAGTTGAACCCCTTTCATGGCTTCAAATATCAACACTAATGACTTCCTACCATGATCTTTTTTATGGTGGCTAAACAATGTAACAGTTAGGGAATTTTTGAGTTGTGTTTTTAGAATTTTTGACGCCATCAACACAAATGTATTGCAAAAATATGATCAAAAAGATGTTACAGAAATTGAATAAGCTAGATAAATTTCTGTATTCTTAAATTCTTTATTTTCTCCAAAAATTACCACTGTTTGACTCATGGTTTACATTGGAGTACCATTTACCAAAATTATTATTGCATTGAAACCACAAGGTGACCCATTTGAAAACCGTAGTAGCAGCTGGTCCTTGAAGAAGCTTAATATCAGATGAAGATATCGTTGAACAATGGTAAAAACATTCTAAATTTTGCTATAATAGAGGGATATTAATAAACGATAGAGTTAACAACAAATGTATTGAAGAAATAAGAATTAAAAATGATATTAAATCTACGATTTAAGAAAATGAAAGTAAAATAAGAAACAATTTCTTTTTAAATTAAACACTTTGGAATTTTAAATATGGCTCCATTGGGTGGATGAACGTTATACTCAGTTTCAGGAGTTATGAACTGGGTTTTTTAATTTTTTAATTTTTTTTATTTAGGTTGAGGTTGCTGCTAATTTAGTTTTGCATGGTATGAAAGCTCACTTGTTGAGCTTCAAATTAACTTGATAAATGCCGTTTTCAGATCACTTCCATGAAATGTGTACTCTTGATAAATCTGATTGCATTTCGAAACATTTTGAGCTAAGTTGGTTTTTATTTAAATAGCTTTTTACGATCTGCATCCTTAAAAAGAAATATTGGGGGGACCAGAATGTAACGTCGTTTCGGCGCATTAAATATTCGTTAGTCTTTTAAACCAATTCATTTTTTTCCCGATCCATTTCGATTCATTTTCGATCCGGAATTTTAAGGTTGTTGCTAACAAGGGGGTGAATACATTATTGATTGAAAATAAAATCTTGATAACAAATATCAAGTGTACCGAAACGACATGGGCCGGTCCTCCTAATATATTCATAATCTGACTGAAATTGACTAAAATGTCTACCACATAAATTTAAAGTATTTATATACAATGAAAAAAAATATAGTGACTAGCCGCTTACCAGTATCGTTCATGTAAGATAAAAATGCAGTTTACCTGGCAAACTGTGCGCAAATGTTTTTTGAGGAATTAGAACAGCTTCAAAGCAAGTTACAGTCACGAACACTAATGTTTTCCAACTTTTCAACATGTTTTATCTATGATTATCTGGAAAAAAAATAAGCCAACATATAATGCGCAATCTAAAATTTTAGTGCATTCTACAACATAACCACAAAATACATTATTTGATAATTTCTTATCTGAAAAATTTAAAAAATATTAAAATAGATTTCCTTTTAATAAAACACTTTAATCTCTAGATTTTGACCTGATCAATATTTTTAGATAAATGTCGTACAGTAAAAACTCAATAACATTTTTCGAAAGCTATTGAATTAATAAGCTACTTAACTTTCTTAATGAAGATATTTATTGATTAAAGGGAAAATTTAAGAGCTAATTTTATTATAAAGTGGGAAAATGAGGCAAGTTTGGATACTTGACATTTCAGATTTTCCGAAATTTATAGGATATGTTCTTTATGTGAAACTATTAAACTTATGTTTTTTGATTTATGAGAAAATTGTTTTGTGTGGATTGAAAAAGAAGACTTTTTGGAATTTTGAGAAAATCGCATCAATTTACAAGTGGAATACTCTTTATGAAACGAATGAATCACGGAATCAACCGTTATTTTATGTTCAACTACGTTTATATTATCTATTAACCCATTGGTGGTTTAGTAAAGGGCAGAATTTGGAGGATTTTTTCACCCCCATACATTATTTCCCTATCTAATAACATAGAAAAACCAGTTTTACTAAACTGAGAAGACTGCTGGTTAAAATACGATTTTTAACGAGCTGAACAGCCTTTGGCGTGACCTTTGACGTGACCTAATTTAGAAACTAAAATTGTAGACAACTTTCAAGGCTATTAACTGCCTTTGCCAAAAATAAACAAGTATGAAATTATCAGGAATAGTAGCCTTAAGTATAGCAAAACCAATCAACTGATTTAAGGTGATTGACTCAAAATACCCACTGGCCAAATTGCTTCGAATTTCACCAGCGAATTAATCGCTATTAAAGAGGCTCTTGCCTATTGTCACTCCCAATCTCTAAAAGACTCAATAAAAGAAATCGTGATTTTCTCAGACTCAAAATCAGCACTCGAAGCAATACGTAACGGTTATACATCAATAACGCATGAAATTAATACCCTTCTTCATTCATTAACTATCCGTTGCACTCTCCAGTGGATCCCAGCTCATGTTGGAATCGAGGGAAACGAATGCGCAGATGCCCTTGCAAAGGAAGCACGCGACGAAGATCAACCTCGAGCTGTCACCTGTGCAGATGCGAATGCTGTCGCCAGACGAAGGATATACAACCAGCATTTTAGCAAGGCAACAGTCCCCGATCTAAAATGCCCAAGAAACCTCTCCTCTACAATAGCTAGGCTACGTACTGGACATTTCAAGGGCATGAAGATCTCACGCACCCATATAAAATTCTATCCCATGTGCAAGTACTGTCCTCATTTGCAACTAACTCCAGACCATGTTTTTGACTGCCAGGCTATTATCGGCTCCCTCTTTCAATTTGGAGCACCTCCCATCGAAATTCCCCATAACCATCAGGCTCCAGAATTTGCAAACCTTGTTATCAAGACTTTTGGAGGACTCTAATCTTTGCACTAGCATAGACACGACGACAACAACAACAACAAGGTGATTGATTCAATTTTTTTCATAACCAGGCTCTGAAGTTTGATACTGAGAACACAGAAATAGTTTTTGGGAATGTTGTAAATTGTTTTAAAAACTGTGATTTCTGCATAATAGGATTATCTGTTGAACATGGGTAGTTGTAAACAAAACATTTTGTCAGCTGCTCAACAGCGGTGATAAGATAAAAAAATAAAAAATGAATATCTGAAGTTATCACCTCCTCCGGGGGTGGGCGGCAGTCTCAATCCAGAACTTAGGGGGAAGGGGCAAATTAGGGGAGATCTTTCACTTCGTTATCTAAGCAAGTGACATATTGCTATGATATGTTTTTTTACGCTGAATAGAACAAAATATTACCCAGGTCGGTACAACCAATAGATCAAAAGTTATAAAAGTTTTGTGAGAAAATAGTACAGTACATTGCTGCTGCTGACAAAGTTTGAGATCCTATGAATATTTTCGGATTAAACTAATGAGGTAAAATTAAGTTAAATGAAATCAAAACTTATTTATTATTAATAGTTCCAGAAATATTTAATACGTAGTAGATCATAAAATAATTGTCAGTGTCGTGATCCACTTGTTTGACAAAAAGTATAGCAACTTTCGAATAGATGCGTTGTTCTTAAAACTTCAAAATATCTGGAGCTTTAATCCCCCAAAACTTTAAAAAAAAGAAAATAAAAAAAATTCTCAAACTAAGTTGAAGAATGTTAGAATTGCAAGTATTCAACCCTGCCTCATTCTTAATAAAACTGGCTCTTAATGATGAACTTCGTAATCAAATCATTCAGGAGAGCATTTTGGGTGAAAAACACTACGATAAAATTTCCACGTAGGCAATAAAATTGAACTTTTAAACATAAATTTCAAACTTCTGTAAAGTAGAAATTTGGAAACACTAAGGAACATTTTGATTTAAAAATATCCCAATTGGGAAAAGGGTAGCTAATATGTATGCTGCTTCATGTTCTACAATTTGTAAATGATTAACGTTAGAAATACCATAATGATTATCATAAGTTATGCAAAAAAATAAAATTTCTTTATTTTTTTAAATATAGAGCATATTTTCTACTAAAAATGAAAAAGCATTTTTTTTTTGCTGCACTCAACATAATTCTAAAATCTCATTAATAATAAAATGATAAGTATTTAAGTTCAACTTGCGGAAAAAAGTTACAAATTTAACGTCAAGATTAAAAAAAAAAAAAAAATTCAAATATAGTATCTGTAACTCCTTGGGGACTTGAAAAACTGGAATTTACTAACACATAACCAAAAATGGTAAAGCGCAATTTGGAAATTAAAGTAGTTTTTTGCACTTTTGCGAGCCCTAGAAAGGGGTTTAATACTTTATTTGAAATGTATTTTAGGCACTTTAGGGAATACTTTTTCTAAGTTGTCTTTGTTTTCTTTTTTTTAGAATAAAAGAAAAAGAAAATTTCATTTATTTTATCTGGATTAAATGTTTAGTTTGTCTTTGTTTCGCGTTTTAGAATAAGACGTTTTATTTTTAATTTGTTTGGAGTGCTTTTCTAAACAACTACAAAACTTTTCTGTCAGAAGGCGCCAATTAGTATAAGACGCTTTGCGAAAGACGCTTAGTAAATCACCTCAGTAAAAATGGAGTTTTAATATAGGGGAGAGTGGGGTCAATTGTAACGTTTCTTACTTAACTATTTTTAACTAACAAAAAATCCAATATATTATTAGTATTAATAGACAGACGAGTAAAGTAGACTATCCTCTACTAGAAAAAAAATAAATACATTATTTTAAATGTTATTATATTAGTTATTAACAATTTTTGACAGTTGTGCACTTATTACATTTGTCCCCACTTACAGGGTCAATTGTAACTGTTCATAAATTCAACTAAAACATAGTTAATTATACATATTATCATAGTTGTGATATATTTTTTTATTGATCAAAATAGTAGTGATATTTTAGGAGTAAAAATGTTCTTTTTATTTTGCACTTAATGCATTTAGAATGTATTCTTTTAGTGTTTATTTTTTCATGCGAAATGTAATTTTTTTTATTTGGTAAAGGTATTTTAAGCAAGCAAAAAGATAATATACAAAATTTATAAAGAATGGAATGCAAAGAGTTTGATAGAGGTAAAGCAGGCAGGATTTTGAAAACGCGAATATTTTGTTATAGAAGAAAAATCACTGCTGAGACAGGTAGATGTAGAAAATATTATAATGTGTTTAATTGCCGGGCAAGAAAGAGGAGTTGAATATATATATACATTCGAAATCCCTCTGTCGTAAAGGAATGTGCATCCTGAAGGGAAACGTTACGCTAATTCATTAAGTCTATGATGTTTCTAATTTATAAACACTCTCAGATGATAGGTAAGCTCTTCGCTGATACTTTTGTCTCTTAATGGCTTGTGACGTAGTAAGGCAGTGGAGCTATGATTACGTTAGAGTCTAGAGGTACCACCTTTGTTAGACCCAAGTTTGCAGCGTGTGGACGCTTTGAATCATCTTAACTTTGCCTAATCCTTGTTTTTTTGTTAACTCAACGTTAGTATGGCCAGTCTAAATCGTATGGACGATGCCGAAAAATTTCGAATAGTTGAAACAGAGAATATAGAGGGTTATATTCTTTGGTTGGAAGACATGAGGTGGGCCAATTACAGGCTACTTGTTATAGGGACCTCGGGGTTTCACGAAATGTGGTGTACACTCTGTAGAAACAGCTTACAGAGACAGGAACTTACAGAGAACAGAGACAGGAACAGTCTCGTATATGTATATAAGGAACAATAGTCCACCGATCCGGTCAAGGGAGCAAAAGGGAGCAAAAGGTAGCAACGACGTCAGCTCAAGACTGTTATTTTGAGACTTTTAGTCAAAAGAGATAGGACCCCGACAGAGACACAATAGTCTCGCAACCTATATATTGCAGCATGAATATCCATTTCCTGGATAACAGTTGCCCAAAGACTTAATGCAGGTTGCCTGTGTGCCATGCCCCCTGTAGTCTGCATATCTTTGACTGTGAACCACAATAAGGACCATCTAGCATGGCGCCGAAAACACCTGTCTTGGACATATTATATTTGAGGTACGGTTCTCGTCAGTGATGAGTCACTATGCAGTCTCAACAGCGACTCAAGACGTGTTCTCCTCTGGAGAGAACTCAGTAGTCGATATCGTTCCTCGAACATTGGCGAAGAGGACAACTATGGTCGAAGTGGTTTGATAGTTTGGTTTGGCACAATGGCGCATACCGATCTTCATGCGTTTGATAGAGGTACTCTGACAGGTCAGTGGTACATGGACAGGATTCTTGCACTTTATGTGAGACTTTTCAGCGGAGCATATGGACCGAATTTCATCTTTATGAACGATAACGTCATTCCTCACAGGTCTCACTTGATAGACGAATATCTCCTATTGGAGGACATTTTATG